CGACATTGGACAATTGATCAATATTTTGATATTGAATTGATTAATACTACTTTTATAATGGTTTTAGAGCGACTTAGAATTGTTTTTATGAATCGTTAAAAAAATGGTTGAAATTGGTTTAAATTGTAAGCAGTCGTTCAACGAGGCTCATTTTAATTTAATCCAGTGTGAAAAAATATACAGTTGGTAAATAAAAAGTAGATGTTGAATTTTTAAGGAATAAATGGCTTAATGACTTGTTTGTTTCTGTTTGTTCACTACTTTGCCATTTAAAGTTTAAATATTTATTCATTATCTATCGTTTTTGTTCAACTGGCGCCAAGCTGAGCACCGCTTAATCAAAAGTTTTTTGAGAGAAACTATCTGCGATAACTGCCTCACGAATTTCGTAAGAGGAAAACAGACAAAGGAGAATGCTACCATGAAATGTAATCAAATCGGAAAGCGGAAATCGGAAATTTAGAAGCAAACAATGAGTGGAATGAATCCCTTTCTCAATTCCGAGGGATGTCACTTTGTCGTTTCGACCGTGAGAAGGGCCACTTTGTTAAAGGATAGCAAGGTTAATTGCCAACTTACTGGGAAAATTGCTATGGAAAGGTAAATTCGAGTGACAGAAGGGCATTTAGGAGCTCATTTATAACAGGACAAATGTAATCCTTCCAACGCCCCCGGCAAAGGTAAACTGACAGTGATGTTGAAAAAGGCAATATTATAAATTTATAGGAAACCGGTCATGAAATTCGACATAACGAAGCAAAATGAATTTAAAAAATTTTAACTATCGAGGAAATTGCCGACATACCCGTCATTATCACCCTTTTTAAACCGAATTATCGTGCAGAGACAATCGATCCAATAAACCTCATTACAACATCCGACAGGAGGACAATTAAAATAAATTTCCGCTCTAATTGAACCAGTGACAGTGAGTAATATCCAAGAGCGTTAACGGCAAAGAAAGGATAACCGTTGACAACTAAAAGAAAAAGAACGTCCTTTGATTGCGTCCGCCCCTTTTCATTTTCTTTTTTCATTGTTCTTCTACACGACACTAGAATGAAGCATGAATTAGAAGACAGTATTTGTTCTCTGATTTCAACAACAAAGGAGATAAAGAGGAAAGATGTTACATTTTACCTCGGAAGGTCGAGGGCGGTTTTGGTATAATGTCCGCCTACCTGCTACCATTGAAAAAAAAATTGTGGGAAACTAGCGAAAACAAATATTATTTCCAATTCAGATTGTGCTCGGAATCTGTTTACTAAAATGTATGTCTAATTGTTAATTAGGGTTGATCAGAAAACAAATCAATAAATAATTTTTTCTTTGAATTTTAGGAGAAATTAACGTTATGAAATGAGAGAGCTCATTATGCCATAGGTGACGCGAGAAAAATTTATGACACTTTCACCCGAACTGTATCTCCGACCGTCACACCTTCATGTACAAAAGTTCCATAGTGCCAAGTCTCCAGAGATCTAATGAGAAGCCATCAAAAAAATTCAAGAGGGAATCAAAATAAACGAGATGGCTATAACGGTACCTCGTACAAGTTGAAGCGGCATTGCAAAGAAGAGGTATAGACCATTAGCAATGTTAAGGAGTCGGAAAATAAGAGCTGAACTTGATGATCGGACTATACAAATAGCATCTACTCAAGGATACCCCCAAATTGCCATTTCTATGGTTGATGCTAATATGTTCAATGAGCTTGACAGCATTCAGTGCCATACCATCGGTTACGTAAATTGCATGGTAACAACCATAAAGAGGTGTATTCATGGGACTCTTTTACATCAGATGCGCTAAATTTGCCTAGTAGGACGATGGGTTTAAACAGAAACCCTAAAAAACATATCTCTTACTTTTTACAAGAAAAAGAAAGCTGAACAACTGCTAAAAGCACCTACTATAAAAGATGAAACATTAACTTTCTCTAAAAACATATAAGCACTTAGGTAACACAAAACCGGAAACCGCACTCGATCTCCTACCCTTTCACATTTATATACGAAAGGTGGCTTTTGAAAGTGCCAACGGACAATTCAAGGAAATAAAACTAGATCTAAGAACAAGCCGTCACAAAATTCTGGAAAAAATTAAAGTAAATGATAACGGTACCTGACAAAATAACAGGAAAGCTCAACTATGACAGATCCTTCCAAGTGGTCTTAGATAACAGAGATCTTTGCACGAAAGGCCCCCCGAGATTAATTAAGGTAATAATATGGTATACTGATGGATTAAATGAGGGAATAGGCACGTAGTATTTAGTGCCCTTTGGCCTGGCGTTGATCTTCTAAGCTGAGGTCCATACTACGCTCTGCACAGGAGGTAATAAAGAAAAATCTGAAAGGAAGCTACAGCTTTTGAACAGTCAAGCATGTAAAGGCACTAAATTTGTATGCTTTTAGCTCCCAAACACTGGGAATGCATTAGGGGGGAAAAGAATAAAAGGAAACACTTTGACCAACTAGCCAAAAAAGGGGGCATCTCAACCATTCCACTTGAAATTGTTCTAAAGTTGGAACTAGAAAAATGGATTGAGAAAAACTGGACGAATGCATCAAATGTGAGGCAGGAAGGTACTCCCAGAAGGACCAGTTTTTAAGTTAAACTAGAGCACTCGACCCCCCTTTAAACATTTATGTATGCATCGTGGCTTTCGAGAGTGCCAACAAACTCCTGATAGGGCACCTCATAGGAGAACCTTTCCTAGGAAATAAAGCCCGATCTAAAGAGGAGCCACCATAAACCTCTAATAGTACCTGACAAAATGAAAGAAAAACACAACAATGACAGACCCTTCCAAGTGATCATAGGTAGGTAATACAGACCTTTGGAAGCAAGGTAGCCCCAATTTTCAGGAAGGGGCCATAATATGGCACACAGATGATCAAAGATAAAAAAGAGAAATACGGGTAAAAGAGACCAACTATACCCTAGCAAAGTTATTATTATTATCTATATAGGTCGCAAGGGAAGAAAGGATTTTTAAAATGCTTATTTACCCACCAAAATTTCAACAAGGAATAAAAGGTGAGTTTGAAATTAAAAAGGGCTAAATTAAAACTAAAAAATGGTCTAAATATGAAATACTTGCTCACTAGATAAATTATTTTATATTTAAAAATAATCTCGATTTAACAGAACAACCATTTGTTTTTATATCCAATTTTGTTAAACTTTTAATTTTAATTAATTGTTATGTGGTTTGCTAGATTTTATGTTTTAAAATTTTCTCAAATAAATAAAAAAAAAGATAAAAGAATCCTTTATTTTATACTTCATTTTCGATCGTTTTTAATTTCAATTTAATTAATATTCATATGGCCTTCCAAAACATTTTTAATATAAAAAATGCAAATATACTGGAATTTTTCTTTAAATGCTTATATGTAATATCATCTTCTAAGTTTTTTTAAAATAATAAAATATTGCTTTATAAGAAGGGTTAATATGAAATTAAAAAAGGTTAATTTAAATTTAAAAATGGTTAAGTTGACGGAAAAAGTTATATATTCAAACACTTATTTATTCATGTATACGTCTGAATATATTTAGGCATATTGGAATTGGATTTATTTAGGCTCAAATCATGTACATACATACATTCAAATAGGGGCCGAGTTGAGCCTATACGTTTCTCGTAGTCCATCGGCTAGCTTTTGCTATTTACAATAAACTGCCGGTAGACCAGTAGACATGAGAATTACCCATTCGAGGTGTTGGCAGTCCGGGGGCAGACCTCAGTCTTATCGGTCCAGCCATCGAGGTTGGGCTCCGGGGGGTGCTCTCAAGAGCTAGGTCGATTTAGCACACCACGCATGCAGTTTCAACCCATTCGAACTCGCGTCCATTCTTAAATGCATTCACTCCTATTTACATAACATTCGTTCAATTAGGTTGATGAAGTATTCAATATTTCTCCATCAACTTTTGCACGTATTATGTAACTAATCTAATTGGGGGTGTTGGACCTTTGAAGGCGTAACAGGTGAAGTGGTTCTACCTTGCCTATGACGGTGGGTTAAAGTGGTTTTATAGATAGCTTCCTCTAATGTTTTCATTTTGAGGTCACGGTGGAGGTCTCCATTTCTGATGTTGCAGAGTGCATTGGCCATGCTTCTCATTGCTCTATTCTGAACTCTTTGTATGACTTGGCAGTTGGTCTTACTGGCACATCACCAGAGCTGGGGTGAGTACACGTAGACTTGAGGACTTGTTTATAAAGTAAAGACTTGCTTTCAATAGGCAAAAGAAAGTTTCTGCCCATTAACCAGTACATTTTCCGGAATTTGACGGCTAGCTGTCCACTCTGTTTTTACTCGTTTTCTATCGCAAGCGTGCATTTAATGTCATACCAAAACTCGTTGATTTACGGAATTTCAAGACAGTCAAATTAAGCTGGTATGTATCGATTTTTCTTTATTTGGCTTTATTCTTCATTTTGTCGTCCATTTATACGAAAAATGGAATTGTTTTATTTATGAGTCGATTGCTAGTAGCATCAGCGGACGTTGCCGTGACATTTCCTCGTTTTCTTATATATCGCTAGTGAGAACAGATATAGGACAAAGCCTAATACACTGCTTTGTGGCACTCCAACATGGATCGTTTTGGGATCCAAATAAACCTTTCCTTGCTTAATTCTGTAAGATACTAGTGACAGTACTAATGGCACTGTTGTTATCCCTGATACATATGATACATAAACTGATATCCACAAACAGTGCCTACGATATTGAGCGTTTTTCTCTTTCTTTATATAAATTCCTTACAATTGTATGTAATTCTCAGTATTCTAATTAATAAAGATAATTAAAAATTAATAAGTGATTCTTGTTATACAACTGCAAAGGCTTAACAACCAACTACCGTTATTATAATAATCCGTTCCGCGGGCGTTATTATCATATATGTGTTATATCAGATAATAAATATAATGTATATGTACAATACGTCAGCGTAAATTTTAATTGATTTTTTTTTTTCAGCCACGGGACCAGGTGTGCTGGGGAAGTAGCCGCAGCGAGAGACAACGGGATCTGCGGAGTAGGTGTGGCTTACGATTCGAAAATCGCAGGTACCATTTATCATTATTTTATATATATACATATATATATTACGCAGGGTGGGTGACCAAGACCCAAGGGGTTAAATGCCTGGGTAGACTCGTACCCTATATTATTATATATAAGACAATGAAAAACAAAACACTAAGAAACAACTTTTCCTCCCCTGTTTTATTGATAAAAGAAACTTGCATACTATTTTAAAGAATAGTGTGGTTTTGTAAAGAGTTTTATATTTAAATGGTAATAATATAAAAAAACGTAATAATAGGAGGAAGACTACTTTCAATGACCATAATCATGCTCAAACTACCATAAAGGCTTTAGAAAATGTAAGTGCAACGGAGATTAAAAAGCGATAGCCATCTACGCGGACAGGCAGGCGGCAGTGAGGGAAATTATGCAGCCCCGCGACGAGTCCAGGATTCACTGCAAGGAAGCGGAGATGGTTTCTGTACCCCAGCAGATCACAGACTAACTACTCACTGGTGCGAGTGCAACGACGCCCACTGATGACCTGGAAGTCCCTTTGAAACAACTACCACGACACTTCTTTATCAATGGAGAGGCCGGAGCAATACATAGGCTTACGCAGGGATAGGCTCCAATAGCCTTCCCGCATAACAAAGAGCAACTAAAACAATGGGGGCAGCTTTAGGCAGACAGGGTTCTGAGGATGCCTGTTGATGCTATGACTCCTAAATTCGGATTTGATAAGAAATTTCCTATTAAAATGCCTAGTAGAGCAGACTTGGAGAAAGAGATCCCATTTAATACCAACTATACAGGGGGCTCCAAAACCGAGTATCTGTCAGGAGCTGGTATTTTTCAAAATAAATCAAGCCTTGGATATGCCACTGTCTTTTAAGCGAAGACTGTGGCTATTGAACACTGTGCTAAGTAGATTAAAAGGCTAGATATCGTTAATAGAAGAAAAGCCACTTACTCCGACAGACAAGCAGCATTGAGGGCAATTCTAGCATCTGTAGTAAAGTCTAGAGTTATTTGGGATTGCATTACGGCCCTATTAAACATTGGGGAAAACAGCAAAATCACCCTTGCTGGGTACCAGGGGACGAAGAGGCCGATAAGTTTGCCTCGGAAAGTTCGATGAGGATACCTATTGGCCCTGGAGCCTTTTGTGACTGTTATTTGAAACTGCCAAACAAATTAAGCAATCAGACAATGGTTTAAAAACAAGTCCTCCGCACATGGGAATAGAATAAATATGGCGACGAAAGGATGCGAAAATTCATTAAACTACCATCGCAAAAACTAACGGTAGAACTATTAACTCTAGGACGTGTTAGGACTAGAACTATAGTTAGACTGCTAACTGAACACTGCAGACTCCGGAAGCATATTTATTTACTTACAACTTCAACAGATTATAATCCAAAAGGAGGTAGTCCTTATGGGAAATGTATTCCAGGCCACAACCTGGAATGTTCATTAAAGGTCCATTAAACTAACGGCAGAATTACTGAATCTCAGACGTGTTAGGACTGGAACCATCGTAGGACTGCTGCTTAGACATTGTAGAATGTATTGCAGAATCAAGCATGTTTAGATATCGCAAGAAGAGACAGCGGAACATGTCCTCTGTTAATGCGAAGGCGTGCTGTTTTCCGTCGAAAGCTTCAATGTGAAATTATTAACAGTCAATACTTGAATTTTTTTTCAGAGCACGCTTCACCCTTCACATGGGATCAACCACTTTAACAAAAGTGGTTACATCAACATACTTTTTGTCGTATATGTTTTATGAAATTATTCAGAATCGTGAGATGCGGTCTGGTGTGATGTAGGTTTCAGAAAAACATTTTCTTTATCGTGCCAACGTTTCGATCTTTATTGAGATCATTTTCAGGGCTCAAAGTGAATCATCATCTACCTACATCACACCAGACCGCATCTCACGATTTCTGAATAATTATCGATTAACGGTCACTAATCACCACACGTTTTATGAAATATTACACAAAGTGATAGAAGAATTCTCCCTGAACTATTCTCGTTATGACTTCATTCTTTTTATCTTTTATGATTGGAACCTTTGGATTAAAACGAACGGGAAACAATTACTCTTTCGTTCTATCCTTTGAAAAACATCCCTAATTTTTACTCTCGCTTGGAATGGCAAAGAACTCGCCATCCTACAGATCCTGACCTGAGTAGATCTATTGTGCTCCTCTAATTTTATTAATCACTGGCTAAGGTTGTTAATCAACCTCCACAGACTTGCCTGCTGTTCCTTAGTGTAGGAGCTTGCTCTCTATTTTCCTTTTCTGGCTGCAATAGTCTACACCTACATATACACTCAAAGGTGTTCTACACAAACATATTAGGTGTTCTGAGGTCTCCTCTTCTTCCTGGCAATATCTACACGGTGTTCCTTCTGTCAGTATTTATATCAGGTGCATACGCCTTTTTAGGCGGCAGTGCCTTGTCAATAGTCCAGCCAGAACCCAGGTACTGTTGCGGTTACCTTCCAGTATTCCGTTGTAAGTTTTGCGGATGTATTGTTCTACCAGGTCTTGGACTGGCAAGATGCTAGGCCACCCTTCGGGTTCGGGGTCTAGATAATTCATATTGGTCCCTATTTTGGCCAGCATGTCAACTTTCTCATTGCCTCTATTTCCCGAATGCCCGAGGACCCATTCCAGGTTCAGCTTCCATACAATTCCTTACTTTTATTTACCTTTACCTCGCATATGGCTAAGATATGCTAAGATCTTAAGCATCGCCTGACTGTCATAGAAATGGTTATCTCTTCCTGAAATGTGTTCCCATCCTTTTCGTTTATATGGCACAACATAACCTGAATTTACAAAAAATTTAAAGAAAGAAATGGTTGATATGAGTCCAATTAGTTCCAAATGATTTTCTTACGTCTGAATCGAAATCGACCACAAGCATAATACAAGCAATCATAAATAACGCACATCAGTCTACTTTCTCACAATATACCATATTATCGTGCTATTTGGTAATAAATTTTCTCCAGATCGTTGTAAACAAAGCGATTCCGTACTTAAGTGGCTTTTCCATGCCGAGCAAAGCTGGCTCGTAAACAACTATTGGAGGAAGTAGCACGAGAAAAATAAACAAGAGAAATAGCTCAGCCCAAAAAAAAAAAAAAAAAAACCTTCAAATCGTCAATGCTTGATGCTATGAGTATAGTTTTTTATTGTTTGAACGAAAGGTTTGATTGAAACACTATGAAACCGATAAATGCTCATTTTGAATCTAATTTATTGCAGTCATTAATCTATGTGCCTTTTACAAAACCGCCAGTTATTACTACTGCGATTTTTCTTTCTCTGCATATTAAAATTGAAAGTATCGTCGGTTTTAGTGGCCGCAAGATCATGAAAAGGGAGAGCTGTTTGTTATATTTGAAACGAATTTTCTGATTCCCGGATTATTGATGCATTTGTTTTATGTTTTTTGGTGATTTTGCCAGTTTCCATTAAAACAAAAAACTCAAGTATTTTAACTATATCATGATATAGCTACATTCGTGCACAAAATGGCTAATCCTGTTACGTTTTGTAAAATCGATTTTTCTACGTCGTAATTTTTACTCATATATTATATTCGAGATTAATTCGAGAACTAAACTGTTCTTTGTTGAATTCGAAATCACTAAAACCCACAATGTCCCCAAAAGTCTCTGCCAACAACTTATCAACTTATTTCGTCCTGACACTTGTAACAATTTCTTCCCTATAATTCTTCTCCTCCATTTCCCATACTCAAGCCCCCGCCATCTTCTAAAGGCTTTACTTACTTTAGCAAGCAAACGTAACATCTCAGGTCCTAAAGCATATATGCTCAATTAAATCACACGCTGTAGACAGGGATGGAGATGGTATACAACTCCCATTCTTAATACAAACTCTCACGCTATTCTAACTTTCTTAGTTCATATTTTTAATACCTGTCTTACACACTATGAAAACGTAAAGCTTGGATCATCGTCCATTTTTTTCTCTCTCTGGTGTATCACTAAAAAACTATCCCGTAGTCTTCATCTGATGGGGGTGCGATAACCACAGCTGTGTTTCTGGACCTACAGATGAAGTCCCTATTACCTATAACAAAAGAAAGTGCGTCACACAGGGTGGTCACACCAATTGGTGACACCTTTTAAATATATTTGGGAAGGTTTAGCAGGTTTATTTTCTGCTCCCACTGTTGTTTCCGTTTCGTTTTTCGTCGTCTCCTTGTGTAGTTAATACTGCGAAACGGTTTGGTGAAGTGAAGTTGATAGGGGTCTGTACAACGATTGGAGTTCGATGTCTGGTCGGTTCCTGGGATGTTGTGGGAACCTGGCTACTCATCTTTACTATGTCGGGTAGTTTGTGGTCATGTCATTTTGTATATGGACTTCTTGTCGTTTTCCATATCTGGCGTATTTATTAGCCTCTTACTTTTGGGAGACACACCTCCACTTGACAAAGGTCTCTTAGTGTTGGAAATGCTTTTCCGTTTACTGTTACAAGTATCTCCCATGAGGGTACTTCAATATTACCGTCAATAAAATCTAACAGTCTTTCGTTTTATTTTTCGGTCAATAAATAAAATCATTTAATTTAATTTAAAAAATAAAAGTAGTAAAAAAACTGATTAAATCAACTCACACTGTGCGCATGCTCACTGAGCTTAGCTGCTATCTGTTTACTTATCACTTGCACACTAGGCGTTTACACTGAGCTGTCGACACATGGGTCCGCCTATTCCCTCGTGTGCTGAAAAAACCAGTTGTTGATTTAAATAGGAGTGTGCTCATTGACCTGACAAGACGAGGGAACACGGGGACTGACGGGCTGACCCCAACGCTTCCTGATGCGTTTGGTACCAATCAAACTTTCCAGATATCCTCAGTGAGTGTGAAGGCGTGTTGCAAGAAAAACGGCACGAAAATTGAATAACCGCTGATTGAGTATGTCCGGAGCAACCCTGTTTTGTATGATCCGTTTTCGAAGGAGTACAGAAACCAAACAGT